CTCAGGTATGGAACAAAAATATAATGACAAACCTAGCTTTGCTTTCTTAGGCTGTGTTCACCCTGCAAGCAATATTGCTAAATGCTGAGTTTTGCTCGGATCGGATTATTTTTGCTCAGCTGTTCACGATCCTGATTTTAAAAGTGGCCTGTATCAGACTCCAGTGGGGATCCAAATATGAAAGGGGCCCACATCTGATTTTAGAATATCAGATGCAGTGTGACTTATGTTGTTCACACTGTCGTAAACAAATCAGCAACAAAAAAAAACAAAAGACAGTCAGGTCATTTTTGGCTGCAGTGTGAACACAGCCTTAGAGTTGATGATCATGCACAGCTTACAGATACACTCCCATAGCGATGTGTTTTCGCAGCCGTTTTGCGTAATAACAGCTCTATGCTCATTTACTGAACATGTCAGGGTAAACTACTGATAAACAAAATGAGCCTCTATAGAGCACAATGCAGCCACGCAGATGTGATTAGCGAGTCAACCACGTGTGTTTGTCGGAAAACAATAAAAACTGCAATATTGTTTAGAGTCTTTGTGCCGAGAAACAAGCCCGCTGAGAAGTGCATGCACCTCAGGGGACACTTTAAAAACTGTATGTCTTTCTGGGGGCAGCTCTGTGATGACAAAAGCATCTTGAGTTCAGACTTAATAAATGTTAAGTGTCCTCATTGTTCTTCATCAGCCTGCGTAATTATGACCTGCAAAGAGCGTTTGACTCTAAAGTGTCTGTAGAGGGACTTCAGGGATGGATGCACAAATTCGGCTACAAAAAAAAAAAGTGTCTGTGATATTTATCACTGTGCTGCAAGGTGCATGCAACTCTGCAGGCATGCTTTTCAGAAATGCATCCCTGCCAATAGTTGCATGCACCTCGCAGGAGTCAAACTCTTTTTTTGCAGGTCATGTTCACACATGCTGATGAAAATGCTTCTTCTAAATCTACAGAATAAGGGCACTTCATTCTCTTTTAAGTTAAAACTTCACATACTTTATCATCACAGACAGAAGATTAATACCGTTTTCTGATACTTCCGCGAGCATGCAACTCTTGGCAGGGATGCATTTCTCGGCATTACACCGGCTCACATCATCCCATTTGCAGAGCTTTCATCACTAGACGTCGAGAATGGTGATTAGCTTAGCAACTAATGCTAGTACGCTAGCAAAACCCCTCGCTGCTAAGATTATTTTCTTCCAATCCCCGCCATCTTGTTCCGATTCAAAGCAGCCATTACTTTGCAACTGTAATAAGTAATTTAGAATTTGTTACCCCCCCCCTCCTTCATAAGGTCGGCTAAGAGGCACTGCTTCAGTTTTGTGTGCGAGTGTGGAGGAGACAGAAAACCGCTGGGCAGCTGGCATGCTAACATGCTAACAGAGTGAGCTGACGCACAACCCAAACTCAGATCAGATGGTGGTGGCTGCAGTATACACAGACAAGTCTGCAAAGTTAACACCGCCGCTTTAGACAGTCGTAAAAAAATTAAAAAGGTGCACACACGTCCACCTACGCGGATGCACTGTCATACTTTTTGCAAGTCGCGTAGCAGCTGTGTGGCTAGGTGTTAGCTTTAGCTCGACCACATTTAAATGAGAAGTAACAATCGTTTTTAACACACGTCCCTTTCTCTCCTTCAGTGTCACTGCATTCACGTTGTTTTCACGCATTTATCTTTCTTACAAACAGTTCAAACAGATTACGAAAAAGCCATCACATAGCACGGTAGCAATTCTCTCCATAACTGCTGATTTTAGCAGGGTGGCTGTGAGTTAGGGGCCTGTTTCGACATTTTTTTTTTTTTGGCACATTGCATAAAATCTACTGGCACGGTGTATATTCTGCATGGCAGGCGCAAAGATGTGTCTGCAAACAATCAACACCTCTAATAACAGAGAGCTTCCTTCCACAGACATCTGCTGGTTCAGCGTGTGCAAAAGTTGGGCAAATGTGACGCTTTTTTTTTTTTTTTTGCAGGACATGCACCGCTGATTTTCAGGTGGGATATGCACTAATCAGAGGGGAGATGTAATAACCCCAGAGAGAGAGGCTGGCTGTGATCCTAGTCCTGTGACATACCTTTAACAGCAAGGCCTTCGTTCTGGCGCCATCTTCTTGAAGCCCAAACAGTGAACTGCAAGTAGAAGGACAGACAACACGCAGGCGGTTCCGTGTTACTTAGAGGCAATCATATCGTATGTGTTGTTTTTAAAACTCTCAGAAGAAAAATATGCACGGGAGAAAAAGAAGCGAGTGAGACCGCTTCGCGAAATAGATTATCTAACCTGTCAGTTCCGACCAGGCTCTCTTTTTCTTGCGTTGTTAGCTTCGGAAAGTCCTCTTCGATTTCGGTCGACGCCATTTTCTCCTCGTCATTACCAGCAACGCCGAGACTCCGGGCAGCAACAGAGGAGGCAGCGGCTGTGAGCGACACTCCGCACGATTTCATGGGAAAGAAACGGGGACGACCGACGGAACCGAGCAACTCCCGAGCAGAATGCAAAGAAACAGCCGAATCCGCTGCTCAGCTATCCGGGGACTAAAACAGCAGGGGCGTAGCGTAATTCTTGCCAAATCCTCAAGGAAATGATCCCTTCAAGTTACCTTCCACACTCCTCATTGTGCATCCAAACAAAGCGTGTATTCCAGTGTCAGTGTGTGCATGGAGTTGATGGGGTGTTGGAGTTTTTGGAGGGAGTGTTACTTGATAATATCGCAAACTTCCCCAACCATCGGCTCAAAGTTGTTGTAATTGTGTCACATTAGAGGCAAACGCACGCCGCCACCGTGGACACGCCCTCCGCCCGTTTCAACCAATCCGCTGCCGGCGTTCGCACCCACGTGACTGTCTCCAGTTGATGTGTTTCGAACGTTGAGAACACGCGCGCGCTCACACACACCGAAACGGGCTTCCAAGACCCGCCTCCGCTCATGTGATTGGCCAGTCGTAACATATTGTGATTACGTAACTGCCTTGTTAATCAGCTTATTGGCTGAAATAGGCTGTCACACATCTCTATTGGGGGCGGCTGTCAATACAGGCTTGTTGCAACGTTGCACAAATACAGTACAGATAGATAGATAGATAGATAGATAGGCCTTTCTGAATACTATTTATTTCCATCATGATAATGTAACAGTAGTGTTTATTTTCTTGATAAGTTGACAATTAATATATTAGCATAATTGCACCTTAAGTTGTTGCACATACACATTCAAAAATACCTCCTTTCAGACACTGCTGTACCTTACAACATAAATGCTGCTGTGCAACTTTAGATCTACTCCTCATTTGTACAGGTCTAATCTTCACAATGTTTCTTCTGTGAATTCTACATATTTCTATATTCTTATCCCTGTGCTGTGTACATACATTTGCTTAGTATATGTCTAATTGCTCTATGCAGGGGTTTCTGCTGTTAGAGCATTATTGTAGCTGTGTGGGGACCAGAGTTTTGAACTTTGTTGTATTCTAATAAAAACGAAACGATAACAAGTCCTGTTTCGACACCACAGCAATGGCAATAAAAGTCCTAGACATTGAATAATAGGTAGTTTCTTGTTTCTGACCACCAAAAGTAGCAGGCAAACTCCTAAGAAATGTCTAAATTGCAACACATGAATTGGCATTTTTCTCGTAGGCTGCCGAAACATTGCCATCTGTGTAGTTAGACACATGTTGACTGCCTGCAATTCTCTTTTTATAAAGCTTTGGTACTTTTTGATTCTCTTGATCATTAGAATAACATTTACAAACATGTGGTATAGAAAAAGTTTAACAACCTTACACTACTTTGTTCAAAGAGGCATACTACTCGGTAGGCTGAATAACAAACCTGCTGATACATGATTTAATCTGCCAACACTGCGCTCCCCTTATTTATTTCCAAACCATTCTCACAAGAAAACATGATTACAGAAAAAGACACACAGTCCACTCTGCAAATAAAAACACTCAGTTGTCATGTACTATCTTAAACAGTAAGGACACTTTAAAGTCAGCCTGCTATATCTCATACTACACAACACTTATTATTATTTAACACCACCTCAGTGTTTACTTGAAGAACTGGACTTGCTTTAGTTATTGTGTTGGTTTTTATTTTGTTTATATTATATATATGTATTTGTAAGTGTGTTTAGTACTCTGTAAATGTGCCATCTTGTTTGAATGTATTCCCTTGTTTTTTTTAAATGGCATAGCCTCTAGTTATAATAATAAAGTCATAATATTTGAACACATATCCCAAAGACACATTTCCTCCATTGAATGCAAAAGTGGACAAAAAAGTATAAGCCTCTATTCTCTTTTTAGTTCCCAAATTTTTTAGACGTGTAAGACCTGATTGCAGATCAACGAACACTTACTAAGAATGACTAACTCCACATTTTTATTTTGTTTGAAATAATGAAAATACTAAAGTGATCAAGTAGAAAAGCAGTTGATTCAAAGGTTTGATGTCTTTTCCATATGCAAATGTTTTTAAATTTATAAGTGTCCCAATTAGTTTGAATGCATGTTAGGCTATATGAACAGATTTTTCTTTTCTTTTTTTGTGGGGTTCTGTGTCTGCACCAAAGACTGTATAAAGAAGGTTTTATTTGCAGTCAATGGTCTGCACAGGACACATTTTCTTCATGACTGGGAACATGTGCAAACTCCTAAAGTCAAAGAAATGCAGAGGCTTCTTCAATTCTTGAAACAGAGTATAGGTTCACACACATTCACACTTGGCAAATTTTTAAATGTTCTCATATTTAAGAGTTGTGTGCATGAATAAACCTAGTCTACCAAAGCCGAATTATTAACAATATGGAAGTTGTTCTTGTGCAAACTTGAGATCACTTTTTACGATTATTGCACAGATAACATCCCGGTGTAGACGGACCTGCCCCGGTGTGTGTGTGTGTGTGTGTGTGTGTGTGTGTGTGTGTGTGTGTGTGTGTGTGTGTGTGTGTGTGTGTGTGTGTGTGTGTGTGTGTGTGTGTGTCTGGGTTTCTCTTTTACTTTGAACGTCAAAATTATGCAAATGACGCTGAACGTGCAGGCAACTGAGGACAGGCATTTCAAAATGGCGAATCGCGACAAGGGTAAGCAGGCCTTTAAAGTCACTACATCTCTGTCTAGATCGGGACACGGGCTAGTTTAAGTACGTACTGCACTCAGGACATGTTTCTAAAGTTTTACTTTGAGATTGCGCTCTTTTAAAATGTGTCTTCCCGCCGTTGTAACTGGGTTTGTTATGACGCAGCTTTAACAGCTAACTTTTCCACCGTCGCTTAGCTTCACTTGTCTTATGATGCTAATGCTGCATTCAAGTGCACCTCGGATGGTCCCGACTCCGCAGTTTCGAGGTTGTTCTTCAAGAAAAGATCACATCTTTAGATGCGTTCAAGAGCTTTATATCGACATGGACGATGCTACTCAAATGTATTTTTTTATTTTATAGATCAAATCAAATCTATATCACTCTATCTAGAAAGCAAGTAATGGCTAAAACGGAGTAACACATTACACGTCCCAAGTCAGCCAAAACCTGTTTCGCTTTTGTCACTACGTGAATGCATTGTGATCATTTAATTACTTCTACTTTAGCGTACAGTGGAGGTTTCGTAGCTCACTCTGCAGTGTTGTTTTCCTCGGTGATATAATCATTTTAACTGATACAGTTCTGTAATTGGATCGGGATTATTGTAGTACTGTATACAGTGTTGTGTATGTGTTACTGGTATATGCTGACTGTATTTCTGCATGTAGGTAAAGAGCTGGAGGAGGAGATTTACGACAAGGTGGTGGACCTGACAGAATATGCCAAACGACAGAGATGGTGGAACCGCCTGTTCGGGAAGAACTCCGGACCTGTAGCAGAGAAATACTCAGTGGCTACACAGATAGCCATCGGGGGAGTGAGTGGATGGTAAATATACTCATTGGGAATGCATTGTGATGCGTTCAGGTGCTCCTAAGGTCACTTAGATTTAACCACCAAAACTACTTGGTAAGATTTAGGATTTCAGCTAAAGGGTAGGCATGTGGTGGAGTGGGTGTGTCTTTTAGTAAAGCTTGTACTTAATTAAAAGTACAAGCTTGGGGTGGCTGTGGCTCAGTTGGTAGAATCGGACATCTCTCAACCGGAGGGTTGTGGGGTTTGATCCCCAGCTCCTGCAGCAACATGTCCGATGTGTCCTTGGGCAAGACACTTAACCCCAAGTTGCTTCCACTGCTTCATCAGCGGCGTATAAATGTGTATGAATGGATGAGTTACTTCTGATGGACTCTTTACTCAGCAGCTCTACCATCAGTGTGTGAATGTGTAGGTGTGACCTGCGGTGTAAAAGCACTTTGAGCAGTCAGAAGACTAGAAAATAAATATACAAGCTCAAGTCCATTTCTTGCCTTGTTGCTTTTAGTGTGTGCTATATAAACAAATGTGCCATGCCTATAGCAAAGCTACCTAGTTTGTTTAACTTAAAACAGGTGTTTGTAACAACTTTGGAAAAAGATGTCTGTCATTGTTCATCTACATTTCACATAGAAATAAAAGTAATAGAAAGTAGTCATGGCTGCAGTGAATGGTAATACATTAAGTGGCTACTCGTTCACAGGTTATACGTAGATTAAAAAAAAAAGAAATCCCTCAATGCTCATGTGAAAAGTAAATAAAGTCAGCTTGTGTTTTGTACATAGTCATCAGACAGACACCTGCCTTATTGAAACCTGAGTCCAGGAGGGAGTGCTGCATCAGCAGGATTTCTCTGTTGGCACTGTAGGCTCTGTAGTCGTTGCAACATTTTCTCCATGAATTTTCAGATAAATAGCAATAATCAAAACATGACTCATCAATTTTCTGGCCTTCACATTGTTCGGGATTTTACAAGAAAGGTGGGCGGGGCTTGTCAAAGGGGGTTCGTTTACGGAGGAGATGCAGTGTTGAATCAAAATAAAAAGTATTTCTGTTAAAACAGTATCCAGATACACATGTAGTTAAAGTACAAGCAAACAACCACACCTGTTGGTGCACTACTACAGCTTTATAGCGTGTACCTGTAGTTCACAACACCATCACACTGGTCCTCCGTATACGTTGAGTGTGTGGCCATTCATGACATGCAAATCCTACAGTTATCATTTTAAATGCAGCAAGAGTCATTCATTGTTTTTAGATTTACTTTAATGCTTTGTTTCGCCTGACTTTAGGTGTGCAGGATACCTGTTTCAGAAGGTGGGGAAAGTTGCTGCTACATCAGTAGGAGGAGGCCTGCTGCTGTTACAGGTAATGTTGCTTCACCAAGTTATTTTGATTTATCTGTTGCTTCTTTTTTAGCTATTTTGACCCAGAATATATCATGTCAGCATTTCCCTACGCAAAAGACAACTTCATAAAATATCTTGTTTTGCCAACAAACACATTTTTTTTTTTTTTTTTTTAGCAGCAAACCATAAAACGTTCCTGTTTAAGAAGCTTCAGTCAGAGAGTTTTGACGTTGTTCCATTTGAAATACTCCATGATTTAACTGTTGCATTTTAAAATAAATGATAAATATAGACAACACTCTGGTGAATGTGCTTCTCATGTGTTTCATTTGCCTGACTTCTTCTCCAGATAGCAAACAATAGTGGCTACATCCAGGTGGACTGGAAGAGAGTAGAGAAGGACGTCAACAAAGCAAAGAAGCAACTAAAGAAGGGAACCAATCAAGCGGGCCCGGAGTTGAACACATTCATGGAGAAGGTGAGAATTCAATCTCAATCAGCCAATCAATCAACTAATCTTTATTTGTATATTCATAACAAATGTTCTCTCTAGACCCAAAGCTAATCAATCATGAGCACTGAGCAATGTTTAGCAAAGTTACAGTAGAGAGGAAAAACTATCTTTAAGAGGCAGAGACCTCGAGCAGAACCAGACCCATGATGAACAGCCGTCTGCGTAGGCTGTTTTAAAAAGTCAGCTAGAGGGTGATGCCGGAAAAGGAGAAAGATGGAGACAAACCGAGCAAAAACAATAACAATGAATCGTGTTCCTTTGTTTGGATTGTTAAGAAAAAGTGCAATCAGAGCTTTATGATCAGTCTCTTTCTTTATCCTGTTACACTGATGAACCACACATGATTATGTTGAAATGCTAAACGTCTGCTTCCATCCAAATACAACTTTTCACAAATGTCCTGTTCATAATACAGGGCAACATCCTCACACAGTTGTAATGGTACCAGACTTTAAACTTAAGAAAGCTATCGATACCTGTTTCGATACCACTGCAACAAAAATAGGCGTCCTAGGCAACCAGTCTTGGATAATTCTTTTTTTTAAATCAACAGAAACTCCTGCACACTGTCTAAGTTGCACAAACACGTTGGCAACCACTTCTCGATACCATCAATCATTCATATAAAGCAGATTGTCGTTTTATCTAAAGTGTAGTTTTTTGTTTTTAAAGCTTTGGTACATTAAAGTATAGAACATTTGACAACCACACTACATAGACCACTACTTTTGCACAAATTATATTTCTTAAATTATTGTCTTTTGCTGTTCATTTCTGCTCAAGTCCATTTGTAACGGCTTGTAAAAACATGTCATGAACCATACTGTGTGTGTGTGTGTTTTAGACCCAAGAGTTTGTGAAGAAAAACATTGTCGTCACGAGTGGATTCATCGGAGGATTCCTGCTCGGCCTTGCCTCTTAGGATCTGCCAAAAAGAAGCGTCTGTATTTCTGGGATGTAATGAAAGCTTTAAGGAAAGAGTAAACCCTTTCTGGAGGTGTTTTGAATAGCAAACAACCAATCTGTGATCGTAGCTTTAAGCTATGCGTCTCTGTTAAAGCTGCACATCTAAATGTCTATTGTCAAACTGTACCTCTGTGAAGAGCACTGTGGGATTTATTGATTAAACCAGAATGGCCTACTTAAAAAAAACTCCACTTTGCAGGCCAAATAAAAAACATATCATGCAAATTGAATTTTAGAAGCCATTGAATTGTTGTAGTTTTTTTATTTATTTTTTTGTTTACCAATTTGATTTTGAAACACATCAAAAGATTATGCACTATTACTGCCCACATGTTGTGGACGTTTAAGTTGACTCAAACATGAGTAGATTTAAATTGACCTTCACATGGCAGGTGGATATCATCAGTCCAGTTTTTCTCTCTTTCAATTCCAGACATCTTAATAAATCACCACTATGGTTAAAATGCTGAAAGAGACTAGATTGTTTTGCCTTTCATTGTAGAGTTGCAGGTGCATGTTGATGGGTTATGTCAGACTCCCCTGTATCTCTGTTTTTATTGACCTTGATCATCAGTAAATTGATGCTTAAAGTACTGAAGACTGTGTCTACTATGTACGTTTGAAGTACTAATAAAATCAAGAAAAGCAGCGAACTCGTTCCTTATTTATTTTATGTTTATTGTGCAATTTCCTGAACATTTTTCCAATTTTAATTTCAACTTAAAGTGATTTTACATAAATTTTACTCATGACATTTTATGCTGTTGGTATATGTTGTATTTTTATCCTTTCTTCCAGACTTTAAAGTCTTACAGTGATAAATAAGAATTACATTTAACCTTGAATGTATTTAAAATCGTGTATTATATTAAAACGACGTGGAATATAATGTAAATACAATAAATATATATAATGTAAAGGAATATATCATAATAATAATCTTGTTACTTCACCACGGCCTTTTTGCTCGTTGCTAAGAGACGACCGCTAACGCACGCTTCCATGGTAACCAAAAACAGGCCGTTGGGAATTTACAGCTGCTGAGTTTTATGAAGAAACACGCAACTTTATTCAAATATTAAAAGCCATGGCTTTGCCTTTTCTACCCGGGAATTCTCCCAATAAACAGGTAAGCGAGTTTTATTGGGTTTATCACTTAACAAACGACGACTGTTAGATAAATATAGGTGAGCTTTAGCACGTACGTTAGCTTAATAGATACAAGACGGTTAGTTAGGTGGCACCTTAAAGCTGATTGTATTTGTTTAAACAAATTGAATAGCGGCCCTAGTTTCTATAACAAGACAACAGATACGACAGAATAAGATATAAAATAAAGTTTTAGGCTTGGGAATTGCTTAAACTAATTTAATTTTTGAAGTCTTGTGTTTAATTATGTATTAAGAAGGCTACTTGTCCTTACTTGAGAATATCCATTATATTCACTTTATACCTGAAGTGTAATACATTTTAGTGGAAAACATTGTAGTTTTCTATCCAATAAATAATGCTTAAGCCTTGGTGCAGACTTTTAGATAAACTACTGAACTAATGATCACTTTGGGATGTTTTTTTATGAACTACCTAACCTAACAGACAGTAGTTGTTTGAATTCAATCAATGTTGACCAAATCGCTGCCAAGAAAAACTTAAATATAACACATCAGTTAATCTATAACCATCCAGATGTCAGATACACTTCCGGGGACTTAATGTATAATGAGCATTTCAAACAGATCAAAATGTTAGTACTTTTACGTAAGTAAGACTAGGAATAGGTAACAAGACTATGACTTTTAACTTTTAAACATTTCGTGTTGATACTTTTACTTTAAAGTGGTTTAAAGTGTGGAGAAGAAGCCTTCCCAAGCTTGTTAATGAGCTAAACAGCACTGAATATAAAATGTATCTTCCAGTCCTACATGTCTTTCTAGGCCTAACATAACATGCAAATACTTAAATGTAAGTTTTTATTTCATGAAATTGTAGTAGAAGTGTATGCTTAAGTAATCACTAACCCTTATACTTCCTCCTGTGTATGCACTTTGAATTAGAAGTGTGTAGTGCCAGACTGTAACCTATCCTCCCTTGTGTGCCGCAGCTGTGGAAAGAAAGTTTTCATAAATCTCAGCATTTCGCTGTTTCCGACGGAGTCCCAATGTTTTTGGGATTGGAGAAGCTGGGCATTGGAGGAGAGCTGTTATATGGCCAGAAGATTAAACCAAACTTTTCTGTTTACCCCAAAGGACAGGGCAGTGATTTACCAGCATGGCTGGCCTTCGACAAACAGGTGTGCTGTCTTTGAACTCACCTTTTTTGCCTGTTCTCCATACTCTCCATTCTTTGTCCAAGTTGACATACTCTCAGATATAGCACTTTCAACAAAAGCCTCTGCTAAATGAGATTGTAGAATTGTAGAATACAAACTGTATAGATGGCTGATTACATCACATGAACTGATAACATGTGTAATGAATATTTAGCCATGGCTTTAAAAGTACATTCATTACACAGAGGAAAGATGTAAATCTGTAGTTCTAGTTATGTCTCAAAGTAAAGCGCAGGATATAGATCTGATTACCTGGGAACTACAGATGTAAATGTTAACTCTGACATGTTTACATCATATTTTTTTCACACTAATGCTCATTAAAGCACTCAGTCCCCTAAAAAGGTAGTCACAACACCAAAACTTTAAACTAAAGATGTGATGCTGGTAAAAATCAAAAAATATTGATACCTACAGCAATAAAGTAGAACTCCTAGGTACCCAATATTGTGTAATGTCTTGTGTTGATTTGCAAAGTTTGCAGGTAAACTCCTGCACACTGTGTTAATTGCATAAATACTTAGGCAATGTTTTGGTACCAAAACGTGGCCAACACATTTTATGCAAATTTACACAGTGCTTTCTATCTTTCTCTTGTTGCAGCATTTGGTTTCAATATGACTGAAGGTTTTTTTATTATTTTTTTATGATTCTTTAATTTTTGATTTTATCAATAATTACAACAACAGGGATTGTGTCATTCTAAATCCTTTGGTGTCAAAACCTTTCAAAGTAATGAACATGAATGAATGTTGCAGTGTACTATGTTTACCTATTCAGGCAAACAACAAATTGATGAGCAATAATGTTTTCATATTTCTGTTTTAAATGCTTTAGAAAGTCTTTAAAATGTAATAATTTTGATTAACTCTATTGACAACGTGCCCCTCTCCCCGTCAGGCTCTGTGTTTTGATGCATACTTCCAGGAAGCCGTGCCTGAGGCCCAAACTGAGACGTACAGGATCAGGAAGTGTAAAATCTACTTCTACTTGGAGGATGACACCATTCAGGTGGTGGAGCCAGAGTGCAAGAACAGCGGCATCCCTCAAGGTGTCTGTGATATCAAAGGAAGTGTTTTGTTTTTCATGTGCACACTTGCATGCAGGTTTCAGCCCATTTATGATGCAATGACCATATTTGACATTAGCTGCCACTTACCATCACTGCGTGTTTGTTTTGTATGACAGGAATATTTATTCGTCGCCAGCGTATCCCCCTGCCTCCACCGGATGATGACCAATTCTACAATATTTTTCATTTCAACATCAACCAACAGATGGTGCTGCACTCACGCACTTTCACTGTGACCGACTGTGACTCTTTCTCAAGGAACTTTCTCACCAGACTGGGAGTGAGTGTGAATGACAGTATATCTGTACCTGATGACCCCTACAGCAACTTCCGGGAACAGGTGGGCATCACAAACAGACCTACTGATGTTTAGATGCATGACAAATAGCCCTTGAAAAAAAATTAAGCCTTTTATCTGTTTGTTAATATGTTCTTATCTTTACTTTAACTCAATCCTTGGTCCAGATTGAAAAAAGTATGAAGCCTCTTCGGCCGTATGAGAGGCGTGACACGCTGAAGCAGTTCTTGGACTACGACTGCAAAGTGCTGCGCTTCTTCTGCTTCTGGGACGACACAGAGAACATGTTCGGGGACCCCCGGGAGCTCGTACTGCACTACTACCTGGCCGATGACACCATCGAGATCAGAGAGGTTATCTCAGAAATCCCTGGGAGAGGTACTGTGCCCAAATTCCTGCACCGCAGCAAACTACCTAAGGTGAGGAACCACAAAATGATCTGTTCAAAAGGTGTGTCTGAGACTGGGGGTGATGGAGGACTCTTTGTTTGTTTGGGGGCTTTTTATGCCTTTATTATAGAGATAGGACAGTGGATAGAGTCAGAAATCAAGGACAGAGAGAGTGGGGAATTACATGTGGGAAAGGAGCCACAGGTTATCCTCCTGCCTCGAGGACTAGAGCCTCTGTACCTGGGGCACTCGATATGTTTAAAAGATGGATTCTTTTCTCTGATTCTCTGAGATTCTTTCAAGTGCCTTGTTGTATGAAATATATAAATGTCAAACACTTAACTTTTTAACCATGAGAAGTACAGTATATGTGTTCCGCATGCATTTCAAATGTGTCAGATCTTAATCGCATCTTTACAAGGAGGCTAAATAACTCTGTATACAAATTATATTGGTACGATTGCAACATGAAATGTAAATCAAATAGGACCCAGTTTGGATGTGGGACCCTGTTGTTTAAAAGCAGGGCTTTCTGTTCTATGTCCATTCCAGTGTCTTACATTTAGAGCTGGTTATTACAAACTAAATGGCTGGCAATGCCTCTCTGTATGGTTCAGTGACTTTTCATTTTCCTCCAAGCAGCCCCCCCCGACCTCATTCAGCCTGACAGACCTGCTGCAGCATCCTGTCCCCCCAGAGCATTTTGGCTTTCTCCTCCAGTTACTGACTCAAGCCTAATTCATGTTGAAAGACAGCCAGACCTCAATCGTGTGTGTGTGTGTGTGTGTGTGTGTGTGTGTGTGTGTGTGTGTGTGTGTGTGTGTGTGTGTGTGTGTGTGTGTGTGTGTGTGGCCGTGCGTGTGCATGCATGCGGTGTCTGTGCGCGTGTGTGTGACCAGTAATTTAGTTTGTTCTGATGCCTTTTATTAAATGTCAGTCCTAAAGGTTGACCAAAATTAACCGTCCAATTGGAAATCACCAACACATCCATCACTTCTCAGCTTTATCTCTTTATGATGTTAGATGTCTCTCTTTCTCTCTCTCTCTCTCTCTCTCTCTCTCTCTCTCTTTTCTCTCTATAATTTGTATTACTTTATCTCTCTCACCAGATGTGTGCATACATGTCTGCATGCAGAATAATGCTCAGTTCTGTGGGATATCATATTTAATGTGCTGGTATGTTGTTTTCTGCAGCTTGGACCCGCCCAACTGAAGCAGCCTGGAGAGGTGACGGACCGCACAGTGCTTAACGTGTTCGCCTCAGCAAGTCAGGGAAAACGCTTCATACTGGACAGTCTCAATGTATGTCCCGTCTGTCCTGTATGTTATACTCTCTCACCATTTGCTTTAATACAAAAATATACCAATGACAGTAAAGGAGATAGAAGAGGGAGGTGTATTGCATCTGAGAAGTCGCCATATCGAATCAAGAAAACTATTTCTGACAAAAATGTGCTTCCTACTGGGTGTAAACAGTCCAGGGAAGGACCTTTCCTTTTTCAGCAGACTGCTGCACCTTTACACAAAACTACAAATCCGTAAAGAAATACTTTTCTGACTTC